GACGGGGTTTCACCATGTTGACCAGGATGGTCTCGATCTCTTGACCTTGTGATCCACCCGCCTCGGCCTCCCAAAGTGCTGGGATTACAGGCTTGAGCCACCGCGCCCGGCCCATATCCATTTCTTTTGACTACATGAAACCACATGGATTTTTCCATTCTCCACACTCCAACAATACAATAACTTTCATTTGTAGAGCACACCTAACTCTTCAGAGTGCTTTCGGATTTATTATTTCTTTTTCCACATAACAACCCCAGTACCAAGGACACACACAGGCCAGGGGTGGGGAGGAGCAGGAAAATGTTTACTGAAGGTCAACTAAGTGCAAGGCGATTTACTCACATTATCTCTTTTAATTCCTTAACAATCCTTACAGGTGGACATTTTAATCCCCACTTCACAAGTGTGGAAATTAAACCTCAGTAAGATTACATAACCTGCTGAAGAACACACAGGTATTAAGTGGTAGAGCTGGGTTTTGAAGCTGGTGTCTCTGACTTTGAAGTCCCTGCTGCTTCCATGACACCAAGTATACAGATTTGCCTATTAACCACATTCCTCCAAGCTGGCCTGGGCAGGAGTTAATATTTTCTGATTTCTTTTTTCTTTTCTTTTTTGAGATGGACTCTCGCTCTGTCGCTAGTGGAATGCTGTGGCATGACCTTGGCTCACTGCAACCTCCGCCTCCTGGATTCAAGCGATTCTTCTGCCTCAGTCTCCCAAGTAGCTGGGACTACAGGCATGCGCCACCACATCTGGCTAATTTTTGTATTTTTAGTAGAGACAGGGTTTCACCATGTTGGCCAGATCTCCTGATCTCATGATCCACTCACCTCGGCCTCCCAAAATGCTGCCATTACAGATGTAAGCCACCTTGCCCTGCTAATACTTCCTGATTTCTTGCCCAGCACATCTTCCATCAGACCACTTTGGATGTTTTTTGTTGTTGTTGTTTGTTTGTTTTTTGTTTTCTGGAGATGAAGTCTCAACTCTGGAGTGCAGTGGCATGATCTCAGCTCACTGCAACCTCCACCTCCCAGGTTCAAGCGATTCTCCTGCTTTAGTCTTTCAAGTACCTGGGACTACAGGCACCCACCACCACACCCAGCTAATTTTTTCTATTTTTAGTAGAGACGGGAATTCACCATTTTGGCCAGGCTGGCCTCGAACTCCTGACTTGGTGATTTGCCCACCTCAGCCTTTCAAAGTGCTGGGAACACAAGTGTGAGCCACTACGCCCAGTCCACTTTGGATTGGATGTTATATAAAATCTGTGGGCACAATTTAACAATTAATCAAATGGCATCTTACCTGGTTACCTGATTGTTTTATTTACATTAGATTCCACAACAAGATTAGTAACATCCGCCTTTCCCCAGGCAGGAATTGCGTCATCTTAACCTCCCTGAGCCTCAATATCTTCTTTCGAATGTCTGTCTCACAGGACTGTTGAGGAGATTAAATATCAGTTGTAAAGAAGTTTGACCCAATGTCTGGCACAAACTCTCCAGCAGCAATATTTATTGCATCTCAATCTCTTTTTCGTATCTTTCAACAGGTCAGACAGGAGTGAGTGCCTGGGTCTGGCTGTCCAAGTTCCTGTTGATTATTGATATAACGACGTTGGATCAAGAGTATTTTAGTGGACAGATGTTGAATTTTCTGCCTTCCTACCCACTAAAATGTTTGCATCAAACCAGTCAGTTTGAGTATACTGGATCCCTGTCAGTTGATATAGTTAAGCTTATTGTACAGATGAGAGTCTTGGGTACGTTTAGCTAGTAAATGCAGTCTGCCAAGACTCCAACCCAGGTAATTAGGCCTGGGCTCCTTCAGCTCCAAGTCACCCTCCAAAGGTCTACCTGAAAATAACTAATGAGCAGAAACTATAGGCGGAAGGGGAAAAGATCCCTTATCTTGGTGCTTCTTGTTTTTCCTCGCAGCCCCGCCCTTTTAGCTTCTTGTGGATGTGCTCCTCCTGAATTCACAATACTTCTGCATTGAAGGCGTTCGGTTCCTTTAGGGTCTTGGGTGACGTAATGGCTAGCCCCGCCCCCCTTCTCAGCCCTGCCCACTTTTTTTTTTTTTTTTGTCCTTCGCCCATTAGCGGCCCGACGCCCTTTTCGCGCCTCATCCGGGTTCCCCAGATTGGGAAATTGGCCTGGTAACCAGGCAGCTATTGATCAATCCCCTCCCCGGCGATTTGCGCCGTCAGTTAGTCGCCGCTCGGCCCTCAACGTTGGCAAGCAGCAGCAGCCAAGTGCCCCCCGCCCCCGTTGCCATAACAATAGTACACAACCCCTCCTTCGCCTCGCGCGCTTCCTCAACAGTCCTTCCCTCTCGGGACCAAGGGCCTCTCCAGAGCTGCTTCTGGCTGAGCAGAACCAGGGTCTGAGCCCCTTTGCTAAGGGCAATTGAGTGGGAGGGTTGGAGACTGCGCTTCAGCCTAGTGTCAGAGGGCCCAAGGAAATGGGCCCAGTGGGGAAGGAGAAGTAGAAGAAATGAACGGAGCAGGGGTTAGGGATGGCACAACAGGAGCTAGGAGGAGAGAAGGAGGAGGAATTGGTAGGGAAGACTGGAGAGCATGGCTTAAGTGGGAGGTGGGAAGAATAGGGGAGAGGGAAGTCCAGGAACAGGGACACTGGGCTGCTGGAAGAGCCCAGTGTGAGGACAGGAAAGGCCTGGGGGTGTGGGGCGACATCCTGAAGGGAGAGGGTCCTCAGTGGAAAGTATGAAGTGGAGGTTGAGTCAAAATGAGATGTTCACAGGGATGAGGAAAGAAGCCTAGAGTTGGTGGGTCAGGGGCGATGGGGTGACGGAGAGTTGGTGGGTCAGGGGCGACGGGGTGACGGAGAGTTGGTGGGTCAGGGGCGATGGGGTGATGGAGATTGATGGGTCAGGGGCGATGGGGTGATGGAGAGTTGGTGTGTCAGGGGAGGTGGGGGTGATGGGAGCGGTTTGTGTCAATGACGATGAGGAGCTGAAGGCTGGGGAAAGCTGGAGAGACCTTCTTTCTCAGGAGGAGGACTGAGTTTATCTGACTCCAGAGCCTTCAGGAGGGAAGAAAGATGTCAGATGAAGATGATCTAGAAGACTTTGATCCAGACCAGGACGATTTTGAGAAAGAAGAAGATGAGAAGGAGACAGAGGAGGAGGAGGACTACAGAAAAGAGGGGGAAGAGTTCCCTGAGGAAGTGAGAGCCTGGACAACGAGGGGTCCAAGGGCTGAGGGGCAAGGTTGGGCAGGGGAGAGATGCCTTACTCCACTTCCTCCTGCAGTGGCTGCCCAACCCCCTCACGGAGGACATGATGAAGGAAGGGCTTTCTCTGCTCTGTAAGACGGGCAGTGGGCTGGGTCATGCTTATGTTAAGCTGGAGGTTAAAGAGAGGTAAGTTTATGGCGGACCAGATGAGGACTGTGAGATTGTAGGGCCCCTATCTCCTTTCCCACTCACTGCCATTCCTGGGTGTTCTGGCTGAGAGTTTGACCCTTCTCATGCCTACTGGAAAGAGAAGGACAGAATTTACTTTTCAGGAGCTCTAGACTTCCCCTGTCAAAGCTGACCTGGGGAATTGGAGGCTGAGGGAATATGAGGGTTCCTGCTGGACTTCCTCATTTGTCTTTCAGAGTATGGGTTCTCTGTCCTTCACAGACACAAGGTCTCTCTGCCCACTACCTTCTCTTACCCTTCTCCCCTCCCATTGGTTGCCCGTTCTTCTCCCCATTATAAGCCATCTCCATATTTCCTTCCGCTTTAGCAGCTCTGCCAGTTCTTGCTGGGTTCTTCACTCTAACCCTGGTCACTTCTCCGTCTTCCATTTCCTAGGGACCTGACAGACATCTACTTGCTGCGCTCCTACATCCATCTGCGCTATGTGGATGTCTCTGAGAACCACCTGACAGACCTGTCTCCACTCAACCACCTCACCCACCTGCTCTGGCTCAAGGCTGATGGCAATCGGCTACGGAGTGCCCAGCTGAATGAACGGCCCTACCTGCAGACTGCTAGTTTTGCTTATAACCAGATTACTGACACTGAAGGCATCTCACATCCTCGTCTGGGAAGCTTGAATCTCAAAGGTGGGTCCTTAGGATGGGCCACACAAAATTCTTTCCTTCCTAACCTGAGGCCAACAGAAGTGGGCAGTATGATCCTTAGCTATGGCACATGGCCGTGTGCATTTATTCATTCATTCAGATACACATTACGATTCATTATGACAGTTCTACATGCCAACCATACAGGAGCGAATAAGACAAGGAACATCCCTAGTCTCATAAAGCTCCTATTCTAGTTGGGGGAGACAGACAAGCAACAACAAACACAATAAGTAAATTCATGTAGCGTGTTGAAAGGAGACAAGTTCCTTGGAAAAAATAGATCAGAGTAAGAGGAATGGGGGACACAGGTGGTAATGCCAAATGGACTGGTTAGGACAAGCATCACTGAGACATTTGAGCAAAGACTTGAAGAAGGAGAGGGAATTAGACTTTCCAACTGCTTCATTCACTCTTCAAAGGCCTAGGTGGTGATGTCCATCAGGACCCTGGACTACCACACCACTTTCCCCAGGGCTCTGGAGATATTAAGACTGGAACTGTCCTTCCTCACCATCTACCCTGCTTTGAGGATGTCCAGGGTAGGATGATTTAGAGGCTCCCCAAATTCAGGCTCTCATGCTGAACATTGGGAGTGGCCCTTTGAGCTCCTGAAACCCTCCTCTCCAGGGAACAGCATCCGCATGGTGACAGGTCTGGACCCCCAGAAGCTGATCAGCCTGCACACAGTGGAGCTTCGGGGGAACCAGCTGGAAAGCACCCTGGGAATCAACCTTCCTAAGCTGAAGAACCTCTACCTGGTAGCTCACTGGGCCATAGGGTGGTGTGGGGAAGAGGGCACTGTCTTGGGGGTCAGGATGCCTGGATTCTTTTCTTTTCTTCTTTTTTTTTCTTTTTTGAGACAGAGCCTTACTCTGTAGCCAGACTGGAGTGCAGTGGTGCAATCTCGGCTCACTGCAACCTCTGCGTTCCAGGTTCAGCGATTCTTCTGTCTCAGCCTCCCCAGTAGCTGGGACTACATGTGCCTGCCACCACACCTGGCAATTTTTTTTTTGTTTTGTATTTTAGTAGAGACAGGGTTTCACCATGTTGGCCAGGATGGTCTCGATCTCCTGACCTCGTGATCCACCCACCTCGGCCTCCCAAAATGCTGGGATTGCAGGTGTGAGCCACTGCACCAGGTCAGGATGCCTGGTTTTCTAGTAGGCTCAGCTACTAACTTCATCATCATGATGATAACTAGTATTATTATCAAGCCCATAGTTGGTGCCAGATGCTGTGGAGATACAGAGCCACCTAGCAGGGCTGATGATACATAATGTGTGGATAATATGGAGATAATTTACTTTGTAATTAAGGCAGCAGCAAAATGGGCCATAACTGAGGTACAAACATCAGGCTATGGAAATATTTTAGGAAAACTCACCTCTCAAACTGGGTTTTTGCTTAGCTCTCTGACTACCACCACAACAATCATCAACACGGGACTTTCAGGACCAAAGGTGTGGGGGTTTCTCCCCATACACCAAGTAGTAGACACAGGCTGGATTACCTCAATTCAGTTCCGGCACCATCTATCCATCAGTTCCCGAGTGACCCCCACACCACCCATAGATACCAGCTGCAAGTCCAAGCCTCTGGAACTTCTGGCACAGCAGATTCAACTTGAAGCCAGTTCCCATGGATTTAATTAATTTGCTGGAGTGGCTTTTTACCAGTTTATTGCAACGGCAAAGGATACGGATGAAGAGAGGCGTAGGGCAAAGTATGGGGAAATGGGTGTGGTGCTCCATGCTCTTCCTGGATGCATCAGCCTGCAGGAGCTTGCCTACTTTCTTTCTTTCTTTCCTTCTTTTCTTTCTTTCTTTCTGGCGGACTCTTGCTTTGTCACCAGGCTGGAGTGCAGTGACACGATCTTGACTCACTGCAACCTGCGCCTCCCGGGTTCACACGATTCCCCTACCTCAGCCTTCCGAATAGCTGGGACTATAGGCACACACCTCCATGCCTGGCTAATTTTTTTTT